TCTCTCTCTCTCTCTCGCTTCTTCACCAGGGCATGGGGAGCGTCTGAAGCCCCGCGGCCGCCAGGTCCGCCCCTATGTTAAAGGCTTATAAGGGGTTTTAGGGGGACGTGAGAAATATATTGATTATCGTTACCACTCTCTGTCGCTCACTCTCCTTCTAAGTAGACAGTCTGGGGCTTAAAGACGCCAATCAAGTTTGCGCTGTTGTCAAGCCATCATGTCCCACCTTGATATGTTGGACTCCTTCTGGTGTATGACGTCAGGTGAACAGACCCAGGCGTCAAGAACTTGGAGAAGTGACCTGTTGAAGGGCGACTTCAACAAGCCTTGTGGACTTATGTTGCGCTCCAACGTCAGAATCGACAGAAACGCCTATGTAGTAGAACTGCGGGTGATGGTAGACTTCTCCTCTGGAAAAGTTGACCTGCGAGCGGTCGACACAGATTCAATCATAAGCCGTGCAGGCATGAGTTGCTCGGTAAGGGACTGGAAGTGCCTGGCCGAGACTTTTTGAAACTAAGTGCACACCATCAGAGACCCTTCGACTTCAGCCCCGTGAGGATCTACTCACTCTGTAAATAAGTAACAAGCCCAAAAGCAAATTGACGAAGGTAACTCGCGAGAAGTCAGCCTGCATGGCTGCGTCACAAACGTTGTTGACGTGGTTGGGCCCACCAGTCTCGTTCAAAATGAGGTTCCAGTCCTGGTCGACCATGTGTTCACACCCAGGAAGAAACGCTAGCCAGGCACTGCAGGAACTCGAACAGACTGTAAGAGATCTGCAGCTGCAATATTGCAAGTACGCACAATGATAGGCCGACTTTCTGCCGAAGCTTGGTCTCTGAAAGCAAACCCGGTAGCCCTTGGAGAGCGTCCACCCAGGCGATGGCACCCGAGTTGAAGTCGCCAATGATGTCGTGCGCATAGCCTTCACCGAAGTGCCAGTCGCCTGCGGGGTTTCCGGGGATGCAGCAACACGGCAACCCAGTCTTTCCATATCACCGGCGCCATAATCCACACATCACCATCCAACAGCATGTGGAAGGGTGCCACTTTCATGCTGCAGCCCAGGGGTAAGTCTCACATCCAGCCTTGCGAAAGCTTCGTTCCTGGTGTCCAGCGATACGCCTTTCAAAGCTAGCGTGGTTTGTGGCAAGGTGCGCAACACGACAGCCGAAAGGTTTGACAAGCTTGGACCTTCAAAACTCCCGATGAGCACGGAGAGCAGTGCAACACATGACTGGAAATGCTTCTGTGGCGAAGTAGCAAACCTTTCTCGAAGCTATGAGCAGGCACCTCCCAGGTAGCTTCGGAGGGGAGCATCTTGGCCTTCGGAAACTCGGCCTGGCAATTCGGGGAGCTCCTGTCACTTCGCAAAAAAAAATCTACTTCTTGTGGGCGCCTTGAGCTGCTTCAGCTGGTCGAAGCCATCGCCAGCATACCAATGGTACGCGATGCCAGAAAGGTATTTGGACGCAGCCTGACGCCGAAGCCCCGGTACTCAGGCATTGCAGGCGAAGCATGTTTGAAAGGGGGGAGGTGAGACCAGCAAGCTCAGATGTTTGCGAGCACTTGGCCTCGTCTTGAAGCAACGTGCGACCATAAACGAGAACGTGGTCTTTGTTGTGATCGAACCCGAACACCTCCACTTCCTCAAGAGAATCTGCTGGCATTGCAACGTGACAGCATCCGATGCTTGTGCGATGTGCCCGGCTTACATGCATGCGCAACAAAGCCGTAATGAGAAAGGGCGACCTGTTTTCTTCGCTGACGGCCCTGCTGCCGTCTCAAAGAACCACTTCTGCTTCTCCTCGTGGTGCCACCACGGCCCGTGATCACTTCCATACTTGGTCCAGCCGCTCTCTTTAGCCACATCCTCAAAAAAGTAGTCGCCAGTCTCGCTATCGTAAAACCAGGCTCGATCCGTCTCAGGGTCCTTGTACTTCTGCCAGGTGCTTTCTTGTTTGAGGCCACGAGGGGTCGACATGTCGTAGACTGGAACTTCTTCCGTGACCGGCGCTTGATTCATTCGGGGTGCGGCGCTCTGCCTGTCCCCTTTTCGTCCTTTGGCCGACCCTTTCCCGTCTCCTTTCCCAGCAGCCGCCGCGTCTTTCCATGGATCCCAGGACACATCATCTGTCCCAACACGAGCTGGGGCCTGTGGTTCGGAGGGCCTTGGCTTCCAAGCCGCCTTGGAAGGCCTGGGAGCCTGGCTCGACGTCTCATAGCTGGGCCAAGAGGCTCGAGCTCGGGATTCCGGCGATTGATAAGCCGCCCAGGGCGACTCGTGTTGATGCCAGCTTCGCTCTTTGGGACCACTGTAGCTGTAGCCGCTATGGCCATTGGAAGCATTCCAATCGTTCCAAGACTCACCCTTCCAACCCGAGCCTCCCTTGTCTGCTCGCTTTCCGCCGCCTTTTCCCGCACCTTTGTCGTGTGTGTACCTCGCTCCTCAGCTGAAGCTCTCAGACTCAGACGAAGGACATGGACACTCAGCAAGCACAGTACAATAATATCGTCAAACTGCAACGTCTTGATGCCGAGGCACTGATTCGGAAAAGACCCTTTGCAGGCTCATCGACCTCAAAGCGCTTGCCTTGCGATCCTTCACTCGTGCGAACCACCTGGAGCACCTGAGGCTAGAACTACAGATAGATAGATAATAGATAGGTATAGGTAGTTAGACAGGTACATAGATAGATAATGATAGATGGGGCCATACGACACATCCTCGATACATCCGACACAGCTTTTCCTGCCAAGGTGCCTGTTCCCTTGGGTGTCTGATGTCGCATCGCTGCATCAGCTCATGCAGTTGCACCCATCCAGAAGCATCTGGAGTAAGGCCGTGCTTGTGCGTCTCATACCGGAGGATCCGGCCCAGCGTCTTCGAAAGGTCTGACTGCGAGGCATTAGGCATGGTGCCGGACAATGGCTCGAGCCGAGATTTTGTCGAAGCCACCCAGGTCAAAGGCACATTCTACACCCTCATATATGCACTCGCCACTTCACTCGACATGCGCTTGCCTACACTTTTACTTTTTTAATGTGGCCGAGAGTCGGGATGATCCGCCTGCAAGACTGGGCCTCGGGCACTGGACGGATACAGCTTGCTTTGCGGCTTCAGCTGGGCTAGTGGGAAACTGCTGGATTTCAAACGCGTGATGTTGGTTTCACTGAGAGGAGGGCCCAAGTGCTGACCGACAAAGGCTGCCTCTTCTTCAGCTGTCAAGAGACCTGAGCACATGTTTGGTGGCCTCTCCAGACCAGACACATACTCATGACATACTCCCTCATAAGGCCCCTCAAGCATTGCAGTCTGGTAGCAGGCTTCCCAGGTTGCATTATTCTCGGGCTCGTTCTGAACAGTGACTGCCCAAATGGGGATGCCATATGCCTCTGCAGGAGAATGCTGGGGCAGGATGCCATTCCACAGCGGAGCATGTGACATGCCATATGATCGGACCTTGTACGAGGACACCCACTTCGAGATGTATCGCGCCCACACGTTCTGCATGTCCGCTTTCAAGCACGGTGCACTGGAATGGTCCATCCCCTTGGTATCTCACTGGGTGGCAGGAGTCAGCCCCTTAAGCATATGATGAGGGTGCCTCCCTGAGCTTGCGAATGACCTGGTGATCCAATGGCAGTCCCAGACTCCGCTCTCGGATTGAATGCCAGATTTTTCATCCATGCAGGTGGGCTCCAGGGGGAAGCCAACATCTTCATCTCGCGCCCTTCGGCCCTGCCCAAGGAAACACTCCATCACTGCAGACACTTCACGAGCAACAACACACGTGATCGCGGGTGTGTTCCTTCCTTTCTGTGGGTGGATGTGCGGTCTGCAGCATCTCGGATACTAGCTCTGCCAGGTGCCAGTAGCCGGGCTGCTGCATGTATGCGATGCAGGTATGTCAGGCGGATGCAGGCCTCACCACTTTCTGAGCGGCCCAGATGAGGGGTATCAACGCCTTCAAGTCTCTGGAAAGCGTGGTGTCGAATGCCGTCAACTCCACCTGAGCTGGGCCAAAGAAGCACATTCTGAGATTTCAAGCCGTTCCGGTGCAGCAACTGCAACACTTCGCTGTGAGCGGAGCAAGACGGCGCAAGATTTGCAGCGGCCTAGAAGTGCAGAGCACGACCATTCAGACAACCTGACTTTGCCCCAGCCGCGTCTCCGGCAACCTCGTCGAAGGAATAGCTGCTCACCGAGAAGTCGCAGCTGTTGATATGCGTGCGGCCCATCACATAGCCTCAGAGGCTCTAGCGGCTACACATGACCAAGGCTTCCCAGCATGATTTATGCACAGTGCTCCAACTTGCAGAATGTGATTTCGAGCGAGAAGGATGGTTCATGACATTTAAGGCCGGTGAGCCCAGGCCCTCTGTGCTGAAGTAGTCGTTCAGAAAGGCGCGCTGCTGCGCGTCGGTCAGCTTCCTGTGAATTCAGAAGTGAAGTCGGCTGTCTGCAGCTCTAATTGCTTCAGATGCTTCAGGGAAGTCGGTGGCCTGAAGACCAGACCACTCGATTCCGTGAAGGCGCCCCCGAATCCCTCAATGACCTGTTCCGCCACGTCCGTCACTTCCACTTCAATGCCTGATGAGATGGCAGCCCGGTCATGCCGTCGAGACCGGGAAAACGCATGAACTTGGGAGAAACCAACTCGCACACCCTGCAATGTTTGCATTGCAGGGCAGCCCCGACCTTGGAAAGCGAAGTCAGGAACGAAGGAGCCAGGCGCTTTCCTCAGCGTACCGTCGCAGTCGATAGACCCAACCCGTGAGTCTAGCCTATAGCAGACATCGAGCTCAGCCAAAGATATTTTCATGCAGGGAGGCAAGGCACAGCCACAGAAAGAGCCCTGACGGTTAACCGTTTCTACAGCTAGACTGGCGGCAATGAAGGATGCAGGGGCGTGGGTGACTCATGCACCAGCCAAGGATTTCAGGGACGCCTCCCATCCCTCTGGGATCAATGCAAATACCACGGCTCACATCAAACTCACTCCAAGCATCTTGCATGATACTATGGACAAGACCTCGTCAGCAAGGCTAGGGTGAAATCGGAAGCTCCAGGAGCCAGCAACCCCTGATGTAGCTGATTGGCAGGAAATCAGTGACCTAAGCTTGAGAACCCTGAACTCCCCCTTTCGAAAGCAGTGAAGCGTCGGCGACAGTCGGTCACCAGTGTTCATCGCTGACTGCCATATCTCGATCTGAGGGCTATTCGGTGCCTGCAACAAGGGAGTTTCAATTCCTCTTGATTCCTTCCGCTCTCCCAGAGTGTCGCCGAAGATAATCGTAGATAGTCTAGTGTGGTAGGGTATAGTATAGTGGTATATGGTATACAGTATAGCCTAGCAAAGTGCGGCAAACTACCGCGAAGGCTTGTTGCTGCCCTCCTTCGAACTCCAAGCTCATGGCCTCCATAGAGCGCAGGGCTGCACGGGGCATCAGGTCGACATCCGCCGAAGGGGTGCGCGCCATCTTCCTTGAGGCCAGCAGCCCAATGAAAGCAATCAGAAAGACCTCGGCATCCGAGACATATCGGGGTCGTAGAAGTGCTCCACCATGGCCCGATGCTAGCATTAACTTAACATCGCCCTTTGCTTCCAAGCCAAGCTTCACAAATACCAGCATTGCGCCTTAAATGGTTGGTGCGCAGGAGACCAGACGTAGCAGGACTCGTCCTCTCCTGATGGCGTCGGGCCCCGGCGGAGGAAAGGTGGATTTGCGAAGATGCTGTGACGGGAGCTGTTAGCCAGTGTACTATCGTCTTCTCTCAATGTAAACACGGTTTTTATCGGCAAAACGAGAAGCGGGGATTCACCAAAAATGCCTCGGCTAGCGGCTTTATCTGGCCCTACTGCACTGGCGAAGCCGGAATTGACTAGTAGCAATAGCAATACTGTGACACTGTCCCGCCAGCCTCGCCATTGTACAACATCGGCCTCGACGACTCCTGAGTGGGCGACTGCTCATAGTTCCAAAGGCTTACACAAAACATAGGCACGAAGACTCGGTGATTGGATGATATGCTCTACTGCGGGAAGCCTTGCGTAAGGACTGACAGCTGAAAGGCTCCTCGTCAGCCATCGGAGTGATGGGCGGTGCAGGCAGAGCTTCTTGAACTTTGTTCTCCCGCTGAAGGTTGCTTACGTGGGTAAGCGTGGGTTGTTTCGCGGTGACTATGGAGCGCATGCTTATACTGGATCTGCGCAGGCGCTGCGAATGGGAGCCACACCGAGTTCAAGTCAGCAATCATCCGCCTGGCTTCGCGGCCCTCACCGTCCCTCGCTTCTGCCCAGCCTCTGAGAGTACCCACCCGCCCTCTTTAAAGCATCCTTTGCAAGCAAAGCTGTACATTGCGCCAGGCCGGAGAGCGTTTCCTAGGCTCAGCCTTCGGTCGCACCCGGACCAAGCTCTTTGGCATCGGACTCTTGCAGCAAGTGCACTGGCCTAAGATGCATTCAGAACACTCTCGAAACAGACTACGAAGCTAGTTGGATATCCGGCTGCCCTGATCAATCGCATCCCTCATTGAAACCGAGCAGGTGGTTGAACGAAGAGAAGGTGCCAATTTGGCACACTAGCAACTAGTACGCAGCACTCTTGCAGTTCAGTTCTGCGCACCGGTCAATCACTGCGAGATGCTCTGCTCACTCGTGCTCTCCTGCGATGCTCTCGGGTTGCGAAGAATGGGACCGAGAAGACTGCAGTGGGCCCACCCGATGCACCTTCTTTAAATGCCATGTCGCGGAGGAGCCGGTGGCAATGTCTGCATATCCACCTGAGCTCACCAGATACGTTGCCAAGAACTATGCCGCGCAGTGGCTGCGGTGGTAGTGGGGGTTAGTAGTAGTCGTCGTCGTCGTAGCAGCAGCAGCAGCAGCAGCCGCAGCAGCACCATCATCATTGCTATTGTGATGATTATCAGTACTAATGATTAGTACTTTCGTCATCAGAACAAGGAGTCTTCTGACTTTCATCATGAATGCTTTGTTATTAGTTGTCAAAGGTGTTAAGGGCTATACCTGCTAGATCCTGAGTCATCAGGCTCCGGCAAAGAACTGTACAGCCTCCTCGAACTCCGCTTCTGTCAGCTTTACCTCGAGAAGCTTCAGCTCAGGAAGACAACTGACTTCGGGAGACTCTCATTCATTACTCTTCTTTCATATGGACCACTATTGACACATTCTTATATACATATATATATATATATTTTTTGTTTATTTATTTATTAATTATGGTACCTCTCTTACTGTCATTGTTAACATGAGTTTTATAAATACTGGTAGCCTCATTCCTTATCAGTTATGAGCATTGGTATAAGTATAAGACTAGAATATTCTCCGAGGCACGCATCCTCGCGATGGCGAGGAGGGTGAGATTGGCGCCTCCTGCCGGCGAATGGGTCCTGAGCTGTGCCGCGACAGCCGTGGGAGCCGTCGAAGAAACTTAGGGTCTTTGGGGGGTAGGGTTTAGGGTTTGGGGTTTAGGGCCGTTTAGGGGTACCTGCAGCGAGCTGAAGAAGATGGGCTGAGAAAGGGACGCGACTTTCTAGTCTTGGGGTTCAGCTGGACCTGCGCTGGCCGGCAAGAAACAGAAACCCGCGTCTTTCATGATTGCCCCGAGCCTGGTTCCCAAGATCGATCACATACTTCCAACCTTCAGGCACTTTGGAGTCTAAAGGGTTTATTTAGAGTTTAGGGGTTTAGGGTTTAGGGTAGTCTTAGGGAGTCCCTGGCCAAGCTGAATCGGAATTCGGCCTCGTGGGCCCAGTCGCAGCTCGAGGCTCGGCAGCCTATCACAGAGCAGAGTATGAGAGTGGGGGAGTAGCCTTTTGGAAGGTTTTCAGCTTGCTGGCTCCCAAAAGGGTAGAGCCGGCCGCCGGAAGGAGTTCTGCGTGCTTTCTTGTTTGTTGCTCTGTCTACATTGCCTTTCTGCTTATGTACTGGTGCTTCCGCTGAGTCTGGTTTCGGGGTTGCTCTTTTGCAATTCTTGCTTGCTGAGTTCTTGAGTTTTCTTTCCGAGTTCACGTGCAAAAATGGATTTTGTATGGGTAGCTAAGATCAGAGCCCCAGTCCCTACAAACCCTATGGCGCCCTTTGAACCGACCAAACCGGTGAAGCGGAAGGAAGTCAGCCGTTCCTTCTCAACGCGAGACCGCACCCAAGCGGCCGCTTCCTGAAGTTTTTTGGGGGATTCCACAAGCATAAGCGCAGGAAGGGCATGCTGCCGTCGGATCTTTCACGTGCATTCAAAATTGATTCAAACCGCGACAGACATGTCGGACTTGGTTCAGCTTGCCAGGCCTCTTGCTGTAGGCAGCTTCGATGGTAGCAGACGCCTGGCTAGCGGGTTTCACTGAAAGGAGCGCCAAAGCTGCAGCAGACTGCAGTCGAAACAATAAGACAGCTCCGTTGGAAGAATCCCCTACTAGTATTTATCCGTAGATCATAGCTAGCTCTGGCCGAAACCAGCCAAAGCAGGGACTGTACCTGAGCTGAAGGCAACACACGATGAAACACAAAAACACATTCATCAACATTCCCAGCTTCGGTGAGTCTCAGGGCCAGTGACCCTGCAAAGTGTTGGGGAAATGACCCTTAACCGTTAACCCCTGAGTAAAGCGCCGTTTCCCTGAGGAATGTCCGACCGTTTTGTGGTTCGGCCTGCCTCTTCCTCGTAGCCGACCCAGGAGCCATTTTCCACCTGGACCTGGTGAGGATCAGTCAGGCCAACTGATAAAAAATAAGCACAGGACGTTCTGAGATAATTCCATCAGCGGGTCGTCAGGCCTATAGCTCATTTCTGACATGCCTCCCACTGCGCGGTAGGCCCACGTCGCACAACTCCTCTGGCTCTCATTGCTTCACCTCAGCTGTTCACAACCAAGCCCCGCAGGCTGGCAAAGTATTGGCGATGTGACTATCTCATTGATGGATCCTTGTTACGGGTTATGACGACCCCAATCTAGCGTATTCCGATCTAGCGTTTTCCGACCAGCTCTGCTCATGGTCTGACTTCGCAGCGAGCTGCTAAAGCTCTGAGCGTTGAAAACAGTCGCGAAGTCCTCTGTCAGTTTGGCATCGCCGCCAAACCTGGACAGCTGTGCGCTTGCCAAAGTCCAATATATCATATCTGTACTATATACACATGTGTATATATATATACTTATAATTATATGTATGTATGTATGTATGTATGTATGTATGTATGTATAATGTGCATATTATATATGTAAATATTGTGCTATATTGTATACTATATATCCATATTATATGATGTCTAATGTTATGTTTCACTATCCAAACTTGAGAAAGCCGGACGAAAGCTCGCCGGTGAGGGTTGTGCGGGGCAATGCCAGCGAGGACAAGCACCAAACAGCAGCTGGAATAACTCACCGGTTACTAGGGCCTTAGGAACTTTGGGTTTAGGGGTGGCAGTAGCAATAGGATTCGAGGCAGCAGCATTACGAGAAGCTTTGAGCGGCGTGTTTGGCACCAGGGCGCCTGGAAGCTTTGGCATCCTCATAAGTGAAGTGATGCTGGCGCGACCAGAGCCAAGTGCACTCGTTGCAGAAAACGCGCAGATGTTCACCGACCTCAGATATGACTTGTTGTTTTCAGGGTCGTCAATAGATTTGCTGGATCCGTGTGTCCATCTGCACATCTACCCATCCACCACACCTCCTGGCATGCTGGCAGCATGCTTGGAAACACGTCTGATGCCCCAGTGCCGAGAAGCTATGTCTCGGCTGGCCGCTCCATCCGGCAGCCGCTGCAGCGAGACGTCCTGACAATGCTACGGTCCTTGACCTGCTTTGAGAACGGTCACCATACGAGTCGTGAGCCGAGGGAGGAGTCCCGAGGCTCAGATTGGAAACCTACACAACGAAGACAGTACGGGATATCTTTGTCTGAGCTGCATTGGCACCATACTAAACCACGCACATGAGGAAAACCGCAGCATGTGACGACCAGAGAACAGCGGTCGTCACAAAAAGACAGCAGGCTTAAATAGTTCTATTTTTACAATGAGCTTTAACACGCAGAACTCCACTTTCTGTGACACGTTCGAGGGTCACAAACAACACCTGCATTGAGGTAGGAAGCTTTAAACTGTTAGGACTGGGACATCCGCTTTGCATCCACTGTCGGTGTGCCTCCCATGGAGCCACTTTGGTCACAGTGTGAGTGTGCTTCTCCAAGTATTGTAGAAGCCGGGACGTCCGCCCCTGACGATGTGCGGTCTACAGGCGGAGCAAATACGAATTGCAAGTACGAGCACCTAAACCCTAAACCCCAAATCACCAAACTCGAGATGCAAATCAAGTCTGCGCAGGCCTCCAGGCATGGATCCGCCTGACCTTCGCCGGCGTACTCTTGGAATTCGAAGCGAGCTTCTAAAAGAAAGCGGTGCTCAAGCCCGCGTTTTGGTCAAGTTTGTTGAACCAGCAAAATCAGCACCGACGGCTGCAAGCATGCTGGGATGCTGGCGGTCGAAAGCCTTCCTCAGCTTCAGATTGCTGTGCATGTGTGAACGCCCCGGATGCGCAGCAGGCTCCAAAGCTTTTGCGAGACTCCGACCATGTCGTGTCGAATCATACGAACCCGCCCAAATCTCAATCTCTGTCCTGAAACACAGGCCGCCGGAACATGCACTACTGCCCAATCATGCGATTGAGGTCCCGCCCCACTAGAGTCCGAAACTTGCAAACGTATGGGGTTGGGCTCTCTCAGTCTCTGCGAACGAGGGCAGAAGTAAGCATGCTAGGGCAACACCGTCTGGTTCAAGCAGGCATCACCACCAACAAACGGCAAAAACAACCTGCAATAGCCACAATAGCCATTCTAGTAGCATCAATGGCAAAAAGCAATGCTACTACCCATAAGAAAGAGTGATCGCAGGAACTGAGCTGGAGGCCGGAAGAAGTCCAGCGTCTTGCCGGAGCTTTTGGCTACCTGGAATGCCTGCATTGCAGTCCCGGAGCAGTTTTGAGGGCCTCGCAAAAAAGGGTCCTTAAAGAAGATACCTATAGTATCTATAGGCGAACAAGACCTCGAAGAGATCCTCGGAGGATCAAGGCTGCGCTTCGAAGGTCGGTCAAAGCTGCAAGCAGCAGACTTTTTTCTCCCAAGCTGATTCTTTCTGGAAGCCTCATCTCCCAGTGCGAAAGCACCGCGGGCTTGTCACCTGCCTGTGCATCTACAGGACGTTTCCCGGGTCTTGCGGTGCAAGCTCCCCATCTCGAATGTAGTGCCTCAGGTCACCCGTGCCGGCGCCATGGATCCGGGACATACTGCGGTCCCGCTGTGTACTGCGGTCCCGCTGTGCCGTAGAAGGAAGTCGGCGGTGGCGGCGGGGGCTGCCGGTTGGAACGTCCACAGCCGGTGATGAAGCACAGCACCACCAGTCCGATAACCGGCGTGCCAAGGAAGAGGTAGAAGTTGGTCCAAACAGTAGCCGCATCATGGGCCAAATCCTTGTTGTACCAATCCTCAAAAACCTGGTTTTGCATACTTTGCGACATTCGGGTTCCTGTGCTGGATCGCGACAAGCATTGCAACAAGTGTTTTCGAGAGTTCGCTTTGTGAACCATTGGAACACGGGTAAACAAGCAGAAATACCGACAGTTTTTCTCGGCAGCTTGATTTTCCTTAAGCGCACAGCGCGTGGCTTCGTCTGAGTGAACCTTCCAAAGCTCAATATTCTTTTGTTTGACGTGCACGAAGCCTTCGTCCAAAACCGACTCAAGGCTCCTTAGGGCACCCCGGTGCGCATCGGTATCTTGAAGGTCGCGGCCCTGCTCATCTAGCAGCTCTCGAATGCTTGCTGCTAGCTGCCTGTGCTCCGCGGTGAGGTCTGTCTCCGAGGCAGGCATCGCCAAGTGGGTCTTGCGTGTCTTGTACGAGCTGACACATCGCTCCAAGGCTGTCCGGAAGTGAGCGCTGAGCCGTTGATCATTCGCGGCACTGTACCTCGTCATCCTGTTTTCGTACGTCTCTGTTTGCACCAAAGCCTTGTGTGTTTTGTGGTGGCTTAGAAGCTTCATCCACTTGTGTCCTGCCAGCTTGTCCTCGAACGCTTGCCAGCATCGTGATTGCACGATGGACTGCAGCTCCTTTAGCTGGGTCTTGCCCAACAGCTTGTTGCCCACCAGCTTCAACTCACGGTCGACTGCCTCATCAGCAGCGGCAACGGCTGCTTTGAAATGCTGCATTATCTCCCGTTCGTTTTCCAGCTCGCGGGCACCCAGCATTGTGTGCAAGTCTACACTAAGCTGGCTTGCCGGGTCCTGTGAAAAGGTTGGCATAGAAGCTGCCTTGCCATGAATAGGACTTGGCCCTCTCGCTGCAAAGACTTGAAGCTTTGCATTAAAGTCGCCCACGATCTTGCGGATACCTTCCTCTCCACTCTTTCTGAATAGGTCAGGGTCGAAAGGAAGCTCGCGCTCTGCCAGCAACCGGCCGAAGCCTTCTTTCTCCCTCACAATGCCTTCGTTTGTCCATCGTTGTACTCGCTCGTGATACAAGAGGAGCTTGTGCTGAAAGTGCACTGCCATCCTTTTCCGGAGCTCCGGTATGTCTTGGGTTACATCGAAGTCTCTCAGCAGTTCCACATAGAACTGAACGGACTTGGTCCTCGCCTCCTCCACCTTGTCGTTGAAGTCTCGCAGCGGGATGGGGTCTTCACCCTGATCTATGCTGGACACGAGTGATGAAAACCAGGTGTCGGCGTCTTGAAGGGACATCTCGGCAACCTGGGAACTGCATTTATAGGCTACATATGTGGTTTTGAAATTTGCTGTAATTGGCTCCGACAATGGGGAAGATCATCTATCCCTTCCTGGGGCACTCGCGTAAAGCTCCCTTAAGACAATGCCCAGCCGCTTGTTGTGTCCAGGTCGTCCAGAGTGATGGTAGCTCATGGAACATGCCACGTTGTAGGCCCTGCACAATGAATCGTAGCGATCTCTCCAACGTGCGGCCCGTCATGGGCTCGCCTTCGAAGGACCGAGCGTGCAAGCTGGAGAGGACGTGCGTCTTCAACTCTTTCAGCTCCTTCTTGAACTCGGGCGTGAGTTGCGACCATTGAAGCTTCGAAAGATCCTGTAGCTCTGGCTTTGACGTCGCTGGCAAGAACAAGGTCTTTACCTTCACGCTGCTGTACAACTTGGAAAGGATATTCACTTCCTCGCCTGAGGTATCGTTGACGTGAGACAAGTAGGACTTGAGCCAAGCGGTGGCCGGATCCGAGGAGTGCGCGTGAACCTCGGGCAGCTCCTGCACGAAGTCCTCCACCACCCATGTCCTCTGCTGTCATCGCAAGAGGAAACACACCTTTTTGTTTTTCTATCTAGCATCCCTATCATTATCATGGTGACTTCAAGCAAGCCGATAACAAGGACCCAGGGTCAAGGGCGGAAAGCTTCTCACACTCAGGAACTCAGGCGTCTCTAGATTCGCCTGCTCCTTGGATGTTCGGGTTCGGAAAAGTTGCGCACGGCGGGCCAACATCTCCAAAAGGTTGACTGCCTGTTGGTCGATGATCTTTACGGTGTTGTACACCAAGTGGCCACCCAGAAGTGTTGCAATGGTGAAGACCTTTGCATCGTAGCTCTCAGCCACGCCTGGCCCGAAAAAGCCTTCGGAGTCCATTAACCAAACCTCTGACCCATCACTTGCTTGCCATTCTGTGCGACACAACCAGATCCCCATTGTCTCTGGGGATGTCTTCCGTCCGATGGAAAAGACCTGTGTGTCACCCAACAGCGCGTTCAGCAAAAAGCTCTTGCCCGAGTGGAAAGGGCCGACGACGGAGATAATCGAGATGCTGCTCGGATGTCGAGCTAGCCTTGCCAACCCTTCTGGGACTGGCAGCATCGAAGAATGGTTTGCAGTCGGCCTCACCACCTGGAAGGGTACCTTGAAAGGAACTTCTGAGATGCATAGTTGTATCAGCAAGAAGGATGACAACCATCGACCTCTGCATTGAATCATCTTCCGACAGTGACAAAAAGACAGTCGAGCACTAGTTGCATGCAACTTATGATTTCGGAATCTGGTCAAAATTCACTATGCCTCCAAACTGCTGCATCGTGTCACCCTGACTGGTGCTTTACCGGGCAGAATATGCCGTGTTCTGAAAAAGAATTCTTCCATGTGTCATTCTGCTTGAGCCTGGTTGTTGAATTCGCTTCGTCACCTGCTTTGTGAAAGCCAATGAAACTGTGTAAGCACCTGCAACTTGGGACAGAAGGTTCAACTCAGCGTTTTGATGAGCCGAAGCTGTGCTACGCAGTGCCTCTAGCAGTGCGCCTGGTGCGGACCGAAGCAAGGCATTCGCTCCTGACGCCGAACGGTCCCAGAAGCATAACCGCGGGTATATGTCTTCTAAATTCTAAATCCCACCAACGGCGATCCGGCATTGCAGAAAAACGAGAGACAACTCCAGGGCTCAAGACAGTGGCCGAATGATGTCGCATGACGAACGATGATAACAATTCATCCCTCCAAACACGCATCTTGTCACTGGAGATCTTCATTATCACCAACGAATGCAAACGCACAAGCAGGCGCACGCACCTTCACGATTTCCATGCATCGTCATGCCGCAAGCGCGCTCGAGAAGTTGAACGCCTGCTCAGGTGCATGGCAGCAGTTCAAGCTTGCTTCGATATTTCAAACGTCTCTCATACAAACGATACTTAACCAAAGTACACCACCACACTTTCTTCGATATGCCCTCTCGTGCCATGCTGTATGGTGTTATAGTAGAAGTTGCAAAAGAACAGGGTATATCGCATAGATGAACACAGCTGTCGCATACTTGCAGAAGCACGTGCATATCGCACGCATACACACAGATTTTTGTAGATGCATTGCAGATACACTACTGTGACTGCTGTGTGTATGTGTCCGTGTTCGTGTGCGTGTGTGTGTGTGTGTTTGCTTAAACATATATATATATGCTTATATTTATATTTCTATGCATGTATGTATGTACGTACAGAGGGAGAGATAGACAGATGGATGGATGGATGGATAGATAAACTGAAAGGCTCAGATAGATAGATAGATCGATAGATCGGAGTAGATAGGCATAACTAGATATGCATAAATGTATACATACATACAAGAACGTGTGTATGTACATACATGCTCACGTGCGTGTTTACAAAAACAAAGTGTATACCTAGCTTTCCGTTCACTTTTGCCACGGGCCTGGATTCCGGGTGAAGACCTCGCCGTTGTTCTGCAGCGCTATCTCCTCGCACGACGTATCGCATCCTACCTGTGCGCAACCTCAAACAAACATGAGGATTCGGGAAGCTTTGGGGAGCCACATGGAGAACCCCATGAGTAAACCCTACACCGTAAACCATACCCATGCTCCTCGACTAAGGAATGAAGCTTGGCGAAGCCAAGGATGGTCAGGTAGATATACCTTCAGGAAGCGGGTCGGAGATTGCTTAAGTATCTATCTATCTATCTATCTATCTACCTTCTTGCCTTCTATCTACATGTGAATGCGTAGATGTACACATACACATATACATACATACAAGCATACATACAGACACACAAACATACACACACTTTTGGCACTCGCACTCGACGTAGTCAGGCGAGGTGAAATACGTACATACATACACATATGTACACATACATACATATACATATACATACATATATATATACATACATAAATGTACATATACATACATACATATACATACATATACATACAAACACATACATACATACATACATACATACATACATACATACAGCCAGCTGCTGCATATGATGTGTAGAACTATATGTGTGTACACAACAACAGTTGCGCACACACACACACATCTGCATATGTGTTTGTAACTATATATATATATACACATGCTATACATATACATACATATATATATATAAGCATATACAGAGGTATAGATATAATGGTATCTTATACTATCTTACCCTATCTTAGACTGTTATAGTAAATTACGCCATGTCGTATTGTCATATCACACCAGACTATGTACCACTATATCGGTTTATGTCATGTTCCCAAATACTCTAGTAGTCTATTGTATTGCATGGTGTCAGGCTCGCTATACCTAGCCTATTGAATAGGCATTACATTACAACATGATACAAGCATTGTACGCGACTCTACTATACAATATTATCGTTCTTTTTGTTAGAGCTAAGCTGTTACTTCGTGCAAATCACTGAACAGTATAGGGTACGCTACAGGTAAATGCTGCTTTATGGCTTGACATTGTGTGATATGGCATGTGAGGATATCAGCTGGGTACTATTTGCTTCTGTTACACCATACATGTCGCATATTGATCTATGGTATATAACTATACTTGTTGTTATGGATACATAACAGGTGAGATACACCCGATTACTGACAAGGGGCAAAGTAGTTGTTATGAAAAAGACAAGAACCGGCATACTACCAGCAGCAATAAGAACAACAGTCATAATGAGAGTAGTCGTGATAATCTAAGTCACAGTCATAATCACCATCATGTTCGGCATCACCGCCACCGCCACAGCCATCATCTTCAGCATAATGCATATAAACATGTGTCTCTACATGTATGTATGTACGTATGTATACATATATATATACACGTGTGTGGGTATGTTAAACACTCATACATACATACATACATACCTACCTACGTACTTACGTACATACATACATACATACATACATACGTACATACATACATACATACATGTACCGATGCATACATGCATGCATACATACACATACATGCATACGTACATAGAGTAACGTCTGCAACGCCAGCCCAACGCAGGCAGGTGTCTCGAAGTCTGAATATCCGGCGCAGAAGTCCTCTCTTGTGATCTTTTGCCTCAGTCAGGGTCTTGGGTCTAGGGTTTTCGTTCAGGGTTGGACTTTCGCAATTCGGACCATCGAAGGACTTTTTCGCAGACACGCAGCGAAACATCACACTTCTCGTGATTCGCCGCTGCGCACTTCTTGTCTGGCTACCGATAATGTCGTCTGCAAGACGGGTGAAACGGTCGTCTCTTCTCAGCAATGCACGAGTGCCAGGTCTCACGTCCTTTCTTGCTCAGCAGCCACTGGACCAGAGTCCACGGGCTGCAGGCGCCCGGGTTGAAGGGGAACATCTTCTTCAGATCTTCCGAGCGAGGCTGAGCATCGGGGAGAGCTGTTGGGTTGCCTATGGTGGAAGACCACACGGCCGACACGAACTTCGAGCAGAACATGGCTTTTGGCTTGATCCGGGTGTTGCTGTGGTTGTTGCTGACATGTGTGCGGAAGTTGTCCTTCATGCCTTCGAAGAACCCTTTCTCAGTCTCATTCACGCTCGGGGTGTAGTTCCACATCTCCTCGACCCTCTCTGGGGTGACAGCTTCGAAATACTCAGACTTTCCGGGTGTGCCCAGCCATGACTTGCAGTGACCGACGACCACTCTGTGCCACTGCCCAACCGTGTCTGCATAGTGGCGAAGATACGGTTGCCACATGAGCGCCCGTTCAGCAGCTAGCTTCCGGTAGGCGGCCGCATTGACAGTTCCGTCGCCAACGAAACGTGACACCACGATTTGCCCAGGATTCCCACATACCCTGGAACCTTGGAAAACACCAAGGCCATTAAAGACAGAAATGGAATAGCCATCACCAATGCCCATCTCCGTGTGCGTCCATTTCGTCTGATTCGTGTGAGGGGTGGTCTGCCGGACATGCGAGTAGATCCTCGTTACCCCAGCACCGGTCCAGACACCCATCCTCCCCAAGACCTTTCCAGCGTTCCGCGTCATGTCCCACAAGAACTTTCCGGCGTTTGCAGCAAGATCCGCCAAACCCTTCCCAGCTCGCACGATTGTGTTCAGCGTGTGCTTCCAGGAGAGCTCGAAGACTCTACGCACCTTTGAACCAAAGGTGCGATTCTTGAACGTTACGTTTGAAGTCGTGTTGAGGGTTTGCGAGTAGTCAAAGTACGGGCCGTAGGAATAGTGGAGTCGTAACTCCAAAGCTTCACCTTCCGCTGCAAAGTCGCTCAGCATCGCGGAGATCTCCTGAAAGTCGGGCCCTCCGTACTCGTACGTCAGGAAGTCCCCGGCTTCCACCTGCAAATCGGCGGGGCACACTGGGAGGGGAGTTGCATCGTCTGCACCCATGTCGTCTTGCGGGACCAATTTTGCCACTTTCTCGGTGACGACATCTGAAAGCTTCTCTTGAAGGATTGCCAACTCATCGTCGTACTTCTCGTACTTCGTCGGACGATCCCTCTTCAGGTCCTCGATCAACTGGTACAAGGCGGCAGCATAGAAGTCAAGCTCTTCCTCCTTGCAGTTCGAGCTCAGCACTTTGATCAAGGGCTCCATGCTGGAGGTGCCCCAAAACTTGTACCACGCGCGGCCCTTGTAGGTTCCGAGCTTGCTGTTGTTGTTATCGTCGCCTCGCCCCACGCCCTTGAGCTTGTTTACCCAGTCCTTGCAGTGCCCATTGAGCTCCGAGGTCGTGAGGTGAAGCCAGCGGCAAACGGATTTGCATCCCGGCTCCCGTGTGTCGCCATCCAGGCAGGCAACTGGCTCCTTCTCCCCCGAGGTCTTCGCAGAGTTGCGGAAGCCGGCACCTTCGGGAATCAAGCTGAGGAGAACGAGAAAGAGTAAGAGACGGCCATGAGAACGGATACACATGGCTCTTGGATTCGCCAGGCGAAACGGGCTGCCGAGGTGTAGCGGCTCAGCTTGAGCCGTAGCCATTGAAAGGGTGAGGGCAGAGTGTATACTATAGAGTCTATAGAGTATGTTATACCATATTCTACTCTCTACTATACGGAACTAGTCGATACTACACTATTCTATTCTATACTATACCATTCGATTCGATCCTGTGCCATTCTATACTGGTCTACATCTATACTATTCTATACTATACTCATCGATCTTCCCATCTCGGCGAGTCCTCAGCTCTGGACTCGAGGTTTGGCCGCTCATGGAAATGTTTCAAGCCGCCGAGGCTGCCCTTGTGCCTTACACGCTGCGGCTAGGGTTTCCGGCGCTCAGAACTGAGACAAGGGCGGTTAGGGTTTAGGGCTTGGGGGTCTGAAGATGTTAGGGGTACACCGTTTTTGCTTCCCCCTCTCGCATTGCAAGGGGTTCAAGCTCACAGCGAGGTTACATAGGAGCCATACTGACGAGTCTACAAGTCGCTGGCACCAGCCCCTGTTGACTATGTGGCAGCTCGTCAAGCAAAGCGGCATCCACAAAGCTGCGACGATCTCCATGAACAGCGGCGAGAGACTTCTCTCCTGCAAATAGCAGATCCGCTCAGAATCACAGCCATCACCGGGGTCCAAACCAGATGGGAGTCAACCATCCCCACTGCAACAAGTGTTTGCAACTGTTGGTAAACCGCCGCAAGGATGCTAACGGCAATCGTGCCGAGTTTGGTGCGGGCGTTTCTTGTGCTACACTGCTCGTCCCTGTGCACCGCCAAGTATGCTTGCCGGTCTCCTCGTCGCTGAGGCAGGAGATGTCAATGTCCTTTGCTGTGACATCTCGAGTCTCGCGGACAAACTACATGTGCCCACACATCTATGCATGTATTCTCCCTGGTCCCCGAACTATAGACAGCCCGGCGACCACAGTCTCAGCGTGGGCTGATGCTGTGGCTCCCATGGCTGTCCCGTCCAAGGACGAAAAGGGCCGCTTCTCCCCCATCCGACAAAGGGCAAGGGACGCTGCAAAGCTCTGTTGAGGTCGTCTCGATGGCTGTGCTCTCCGATCTTTCCGTGGTTCTTTAGTCAACTTTCAAGAGACTCAGGAGCTCAATGAGATTTATGCAAGAACTGCACAGTCTCGTTGGTGCATGGGATGGGCTTTCCGCCATGTTTGTTTGGCAACCTTAAAGCTGCGGAACACACGGACCTGCGGTCTTTGCCTTCCTTTTGGCGACCAGCTGCACAGCACAGTGATATGACTCCTGCTTCTTTGAATGCCTATGCTGCATGGTACAGCTGAGAATGCCGCCCGAGCCGGCTGGCGTACATTGCCAGAAGGAAGCATATCCACCAGACCAGCGTGCTCTATCAAGCGCATCTACATATCACAAGTAGTTATTAGACCCGAAACAGTGAGAGTCTAAGCCTTACATGCCCCAGAGCCAATCCAGGGGCGCATGCTCCGAGACCACAAATGTGGCGGAAGCACGATTGGCACCCCAGAACGTGCATGGCACCGCGGCGAGAAGGAGGGCCACACCGAACACGCCAATCGGAAACACAGCTCACAGCCAAAATGAGCACAACGCTGTGGCGGGAGCACGATTGAAGGATAATTAATCCTAAACCCCTTGACGTAGAACGACACAACACCAAGAAAGCCCCAGGAGCCGAATATAGGATGGCCAGCCTAGGCCCAAAAGCGGACACTGTCACGCAGATCCCATGCTCACACCATGGCAGGGCGGTGGGCGGGGCGGGGGGTGGGAGGGGCAGCAATGACGCAAAGTGTTGGATTCTACCCTCTCCAGCGGCCTGTCGGCGTGGGATTGTGGAAGTACTGTAAGAATGCGATTGTGGCCGAAAGCGGCATCACACCAATAGGAGTCTCAGAACCGCCGCGGGCACCTGCCGAGGGCGCCTCGCACAGAAAAGTCTAATCCCTTCAATCTGAAGACTAGAACTCCGTAGTCTTAGCACCCTGCTATGGTTTTGTGTATGCCGCCTTTCCTGCTCATGCTTCTGCCAAGCTGGCTTGACGCAAAACTGCAGGCAAGCAAAGAAGGCCACGGGTGAATACCAGACCACGAACTCTGTCTACATACATGTGGAGAGAATACTATAGTCGCTTCTCTGCATATTGACGCAAGCCGCTTTAAATTGCTTGCTCGCTTGTCTTGGCCTGCAGGGCACGGCCCAAGGCGAGCTGCTCCTGAACCTCATCTGCCTGCAGGAGACAATGCTGGAGGAGGACTCGCCAGCCTTCAACTTTACTATCATTGCTACTATTATCTTATTAGGGTAATTCACTATATTATCTGATTAGGGTAATTCATAACCAGACTCGCCGAAGGCGGCTCATTCAGGCGGTGTCTGAAAGAATGAAAAGACTCGTGGGCCTCGTCCCCTAAAGTTTGCTGCATGCATTGGGCAGCGAGTCTTAACTTGCATGATCAAGCAAGCAGAAACGAACGAGGTCAGCATCGTGATCAAGCCCTGCGGATGCTGCTGCTACTGCTTCCTGCTATACCTCCTAGCACGATCTACGATGATGATTACGAGTCATGTGTGACAGCGTGACGAATACAGACACGTAAACATGGTCTATGAGAGCTGATCTGCTGTATATCCAATGAGCAATGCAAGCCTATAGATTACCTCGTCAGTGATTCGTCGCTACTAGTGAAGCCTTGGGCCGGATGTTGTCAGCCGTCGAGAAGCGGATGACCGCAACCACAATCATATTTTTACATCAGCTGACAAGGTGCCGATAGGGCTGTCAAACTCATGCATCGCCCGTGTGGACATCGGTTCAGTCGCCTCTTTTGCTCTGCTGCTGGCTTTGGCAGCTTGGCCGACATACACCTGCATGATCTTAAGTGCTCAGCTCTCCTTCGCAAGCATTTCAGGAGATGGAACACTCCACATCCGGCCTCATGCACTGGCGCTGAGAGGCACTTTCTTCATCGCTGCTGAAGCATACTCAACTCTGTCGTTACCCACTCGGTAGGTCGAGCGCTCTTCTGTTTCAGCAAGTCGTTGCGCAAGAACCTCAAGCGAGACAGAGTATCTTGCACTACTGTCGCTAACTCTCTCTGCGACTCTGGGAGGGCCGACAAAGGGGCCTCAAGTGCTCTTTTAGGAAGCAGGGACGGGATTAGTATGGAACTTTCGGGATCGAATTGTTTAATTGAGGGGAAGTTGATAATTGGGTTTCCGGACTCGAGTTTGTGCAGGTTTGCGGTATTCCGCGGTGCAGTGCCGCATCAAGGAACTGCAGTCATTCAACGGCACGGCTTCTTTGCACATGCCGGTAAAGAGCACAACAAGACGAGCAAGCTCAAAGTCGAGCCTTCGAGATGGCTTGGGCAGTTCTCTCCGGCTTTGGGGAGAAGAAAACCTTGAGAAAGTGCAATGACTGGGACTAAGAGGTGCGAAGCCAGAGATGGTCTAGCGAGTGCAGCCGAGTAGCAGTGTGGACTACCTCCATGGAGTCTTGAGAGGGCCCCTGAAACTCCAACTCAGCTTTCTATTCATTCACAGGGTCCCCTTCTTAAGAACACGCCCTCCAGACCGGACGATAAGCGAGCCTCCTCAAACCGGAGATCGAAGAGGCCCCCATTTGCAGCCACGGGCCGGGTCGACAGCTTTGCGCCCCAGCCACGCGGCCTTTGGCAAAGTGTCCCATCGGAGTTGTGCAAAATAGTGCTATGCTTTCACTACTGACAGGTCGGGTACCAACAACCCCGACAATTGATACCAGCTTGACCAACCAGGTCAACTGCACCAATCAACGGAGCAAGCAGCCAAATGTGGTCACAGTTCAACCCGGGGCCACAAGGCCATGTACTGCCTCAAAGATTCTTCAACATCGAGCCGGCCGAAACCCCAAGCAGACAGTGAGCCCGTGCTCCGAGGCTGCGATGTCCGGCGCTTTTAATACTACTCTTCGACTAACGGACAAGATCTCCTATCCCATCGACTGTACCATCGAAGCTTTATGGATCCAAGTAATGTTCAGTGCTGGACGAGGCTCACTCGAAAGGACACACGCCAATCTCCACGGCTGCCCTGGCACACAGCAGGAGCCAGTTGAGAGGGCTATTTCCGATGTTTCTGCCAAAGAGTGCTCGTGGCTTGAAGATTGCGCAGCCCTGCTGTTCGTCAAAGCTTGGGCTGCAATGTGGGTCGCACCTTTCTCGGAGGTCCTTTCTAACCTTTCTAGCAAGCAGGACCCTAAGTACCAACAGATTCAATAGACTGCCGCGTAGCAGGTTTGCTAAGGCCCCGGGCCCCGGATTGTCTGAAACTCACGTTTCGCCAACAAGCCATTCTCCTGACTTCCTGTGTATCAGCTGCGCAGGATGAGGAGGTGCTGTCTTGCTGCTGTTTTGCTTACCTTTTTGTCAACCAGGACGATAACAAAAAGATTGCGAGCATAGCGCAAACAACCGAGACAAGGACAATCACCTAGCCTCTGGCTGCAGAGTGAACGGCACGGCGACATCCTTCGAGATGCGCACAATTGAGTGGCAAAATGCGGAAACCAGGATAGTGCACAAAATGCTCGGCTAATGACCAAATCACAGACACCAGCATCGTCTGCTCCAGCAGTGCCAGTTCCGGCCCAGCCCCGCGAGCCCGAGCCACAGCCCCGGCCAGCATCCTCAGCAACATCCTGATCCAGATCGTGGCTATCGTCGTCGCCGTGGTCGTCGTCGTCGTCATCATCATCATCATCATCCAAGTCATGGCCGTCGCTGCCTCGACAATGGGTAACTGGACAACACTGCAACACTAACTCCACAACTTCCGGTACTGTCGTCATACTGCTAGAAGTAGTGGTCTGGTAACGTCGTCTTGTCGCGCATTCATGCTGCCCACCCCCTACGCGAGGCACACAGGTTTTCACCAGTCGAAGAACTAGGTGCTTGTTCAGTGCAGAACAGCCAACTGCCAAGTGGTGGCAGGCATCATTTAAGGAACATGGCCTAAGGGAGGTTTTGATTTGGTGTTGTTCTAACCGAAGATACGCAAGATGGATTAGCCGATTAGCTGTGCTGCCACCTCCAATCGGCGGCTGGCACTATGAATAATTACGGCTTTCGGTCAAGTTACGTACAGCATGGGAAGAACAAGGCAACACACATTTGGGGGAGAACTTAGGCGGGG